CTCCCCGCCCCGGAGCCCGCTGCAGCGTACCAGGTACCGTGCCCAGGCTGCAGTTGGAAATGGACGGGGTGGGTAGGCTCTAGTCTGCAGTAGATTCTATACTTTTAAGATCCCGATTATCTGATCCCACCCAGGTTAGGGGTGGAGAGAAGCTGAAGGGGAGATGGAGAGGGTGCTGACCCCTTGGGGAAAGAGGTGGGGCCCTCGCAGTTAAGGCCACCAACACCTAGAAGTCCTCACTCAGACTTGCTCCTTCCACCCTGGCCTCTGGAGGTGACAGGAGCCATGTATCAAAGTGCTCCATTCAGGGTTGGGAGCAAGGAAGGAAGCCCCGCATCTCCAGGATTAGGGGCTTCCTGATCGATGGTGACCTTTACGTTTCCTTCCAGCTTCATTCATTCATGAGGCCCATGAATCATGGTCCATAAAGTAGCATATTCATAACCAAAATGTATTACTGTACATGAATTGACTCATTCTGCCCTGCATCAGCCCGATGAAGTAGGTGTCATCATCATCCCAATTTACAGAGGGGAAAACTGAGACTAGAAGAGGTTATCTGTGTTCTTGGAGCTGGTGAATAGCAGAGCTGGGATTCGAACCCTGGCAGTGTACCTGCAGAGCGGACACTTTTTAAAAAATATTTTATTGATTTTTTACAGAGAGGAAGGGAGAGGGATAGTTAGAAACATTGATGAGAAAGACATCGATCAGCTGCCTCCTGCACACTCCCCACTGGGGATGTGCCCGCAACCAAGGTACATGCCCTTGACCGGAATCGAACCCGGGACCCTTGAGTCCACAGGCCGACGCTCTATCCACTGAGCCAAACCAGTTAGGGCACAGAGTGGACACTCTTAACCACTTTGCTTCACTGCATTCAGGATGCCAGGGCTGTTCCGGAGCTGCCTCCCACACTCTGAGGAGCATCCAGGTTCGAGATCTCAGGGCATCAGGCAGTAACCCACTAACCAGCTGCTCTTGTCTCTCTTGCAGGGTATCTGTGTGTCTCCGGAGTCCTATCTGCTGCCAGAAACCCCACCGCTCCTGCCCGGCCCAGCATGCCAGAGACTGCAGCCTCAGACCCAGTGGGGATACTGGAGCCACAGTGCAGAGGTGCTCCCCAGCTCGGAGCACCAGGGACCAGGCCCCACCTTCCATTTCAGTGATGAAACTCCTCTCCAGAGCTCAGGCCTGCAGCTCAGTGGCTGCCCTGAACTTTGGCAAGAAGACTTGGAGGGGGGCCACCTGAGCATCTTCTACTAATGGCCCTGCCTGTCCCCTGTTCAGCTAGGAATCAGGTCTGTAGTGTGGGCGCCCGCATTTGCGAGGTCAGTGGTTTTCAGACTTTCCTTTAGCCCAGGATCCCTTTTCCAAGTGATGCCTTTCGTAGAAGCAGTGTTTGGTGACCTCCCTGGCTGGCGTGGGGGCTGGGGCAGTGCCCTCTGCTCCTAGGCACCCCCCCAAAATGACCAGCGCCCTGAAGAGCACAGCCCGAGCTGCAGAAACACCCCAGGGCTGGGGTTGGGCCGGGCACCCGCGGCCCCTCGCAGCCCACGCCCCCCACCCACGGGGGCTGCTTGACCACCAAGTTGGCAGGGCCGGGACTTATGGGGGGATGGAAACACAACACAGCGCTAGCCGGTTTGGCTCAATGCATAGAGCATCGGCCTGTGGACCTAAGGGTCCCGGGTTCGCTTCCAGTCAAGGGCACATACCTCGGTTTCAGGCTCCTCTCTGGCCCTGGTCAGTGCGCTTTCAGGAGGCAACCAATCTATATCTTTCTCTCACATCAACATTTCTCTCTAAAAAAAAAGTCAATGGAAAAAATATCCTCGGGTGAGGATTAAAATGTAAATAAATTTTTTTTAAAGTTGCTTTGTTCTGTGTTTATCGACTTGACTTTTTATGGCCTCTGGGAAAGGGGAAATGTTCCCATCCTGTGGGGAACAAGTCATGCCCGACCAATGCTGATGTGGGCCCTCGTCATGTTTGCCGATCATCCAGTCTTGCCGATCTGACCATGTTTGTTGTGCAAGGTCTCTACCTGGCCTGCTGTGCAAGGTGGCAGAGCGGGTTGCCTCGTAGACCTGTTCACTTGCACCAGCCTGGTGCCCCTTTCCATTTTCCTGGGGGACATTCCTGCTGACAATTATATGAAATTGTTTTCAAAGGATGCCTGCGAGTGGCCCCCAGGGACTCAGCTAGTGCATTAGTGGGCTCAGGTTGCCCTGACAGAATACCACAGATTGAGTAGCTAAACAACCAGAATTTGTTTTCTCGCAGTTGTAGAGGCTAGAAGTCCAAGATCAACGTGTCAGCAGGTTTGGTTTCTTTGAGGCCTCCCTCCTTGGCTTGCAGACGGCCACCTTTTCCTCACTGTGTCCTCACGTGGTCACCCCTTGGTCTGTGTGTCTATCTTAATCTCTTCCTCTAAGGTCACCAGTCATAGGGGATTAGGGCCCACTCATCTGACCTTAATTACCTCTTTACGGGCTCTCTGAACCCCAAGCTGGGTGTGGATGTCAAGGCCCTGACTCCCCACCCAGTGCTCTCTCCTTCCCAAGAAAACCCAAGGTCCTGGCTCCAGTCTCAGGGCATCTGCTCCGAAGGCAGAACTGAACACCTGCCTGCCTCCTTCCTTTGGCTCCCACCCATCTGGGGTTCACCTTAAAGGGACAGAGAGAAGTATCCCTGGCCCAGTGCCACGCCTCCCTCCCCCCAGCTCTGAAGCCCTGCCAGGGCTGGCATAGAGCCCAAGAGTCCTGGCCTTTAGCAGCAGCAGCCAGAGCGGCGTGTCTTCTAGAACTTGGCAGCTCTGCTTTCCCAGGCTCCCTCAAGAGGTGTTCCTCTAGGACAGCGGTTCTCAACCTGTGGGTCGCAACCCCTTTGGCGGTCGAACGACCCTTTCACAGGGGTCGCCTAAGACCATCCTGCATATCAGATATTTACATTACGATTCATAACAGTAGCAACATTACAGTTATGAAGTAGCAACGAAAATAATTTTATGGTTGGGTCACAACATGAGGAACTGTATTTAAAGGGCCAGAAGGTTGAGAACCACTACTCTAAAACAAAAAACTACTTTCAAAGGGGCAGATAATAGTTCTGGAAAAAATACATTTAAATATATTTTAAATATAAATATATAATTTCAATAATATGTTCTAGATATAATTGATATATAATTCCCTATGAAAATTTGACAAACTTTAAAGGGAATAACATTAAAATTTCTCTCTGATACAGCAGAGCCACTCCAGCAGGTCACCAATAAGTAGAAAAGCCAGCTAGAGGTCAAGAAAGATAGTTGAGGGAGAAAAAACAAGTCTAGCGAAAATGCTACAGTTCCAAGGCTACAGCTCCCTAGCCAGGGTCCACGTCCATCCCATATGGTTGTACAGGTTTTGCTTAAGGACACTCAGCTGTGGAGAGCATATGTGGAGCTAAAATCCACGTTTGTTCCGTTCTCCAAGCTGCACACCTGGCAAGGACTTCACCTGCCTGGCAGTGAAGACACCATCTGTCTCATCCAGAGGCACTGCCAACTACCCAAGATGTTGATGGCGAACCTATGACACGCGTGTCAGAGGTGACACGCGAACTCATTTTTTTGGTTGATTTTTCTTTGTTAAATGGCATTTAAATATATAAAATAAATATCAAAAATATAAGTCTTTGTTTTACTACGGTTGCAAAGATCAAAACATTTCTATATGTGACACGGCACCAGAGTTAAGTTAGGGTGTTTCAAAATGCTGACACGCTGAGCTCAAAAGGTTCGCCGTCACTGCCCTAGGTGCTGCTGGAGGCGGGGAGCAGGGCCCAGGGGGATGGGCTAATCCCATCCCTGTCCTCACCCTCTGCGGGGGAAGCTCTTGGGAATAGCAGCCCCTGGCCCCCATCCGTCCGGTCCGTGGCTCCATCCCAGGCCGGCTGCTCTCGGCTGCACCTCTGCTAAGTGAGGGCAGGGGAGGAGAGGTGCCGATGCCAGTGCCCAGCCTGGGGTGGTCTACCCGCACCTTCCTGGGGATCGCGGTCAGCATCTGTGCGGCTGGGCATTGGCTGAGTGCCTCATCTAGGCCTTTCAATGACCCCACAGCGTAGAGAAGGACATGCCTCCCGGATGGTGGGGAGGAGAGAGGGGACACTGTACCCCGGCTGCTTCCTGCGGACCCTCAGATCCTGCCTTCCCCCGGGGCCTCGAGCCCTAGACAGACAGGGAGTGAGCAGTCTGGGTGCTAGTGGGCTCCCGCTCTGTGTGTGACCTTGAACGAGGTTCTGCAGGCAGGTCTTGCTCTGTCCTTGCTGCAGCCCGGGAACTGGTTCCCTCCAGCCACACCGAGCCATGTGAATGCCAGCGAAGGGAGTTGTCAGGTGGCCCTGGCCGAGCATGTGAGGTGTGGCTGTCATAGACCCGGCCTCAGCGCCACTCACGCAGGGGCAGGGGAGCCAGTCTCGGGTCTCCTTCCAGCTCCACTGAGTTGTGACTTAACCTCCCAGAGCCTCTTTCCTTATCGGCAAAACCTAGATAAAGACTGTGCTTATCTCCTCCTGGGACCGGTGGGAACGAAATGAGAGAATGCGCATAAGTGCTGAGCCCAGTGCCAGGCACAGAGACTAGGATCCTTGCTGACACTTCTCCCTGGAGGCCAGCTCTCCCCCAGGGACACGAGATGGTGGGGCTGATCCCTCCCCCAATCGGGACCCCCCTCAGGGGCCCCGAGCTCTGGTCCCTGAAGGTCAAGTGCCAGCCGCTGCTGCTGGGCGCTGGCGACAGGAAGGGCTGGCCCAGAGGGGACCTGGTTAGTGGAGGGACCGCACCCCACCCCAGTGGGCCCCGCCCCACTCTTTGATGTGCGGCCACCAGTGGAGCGCAGGGGAGCCTGTGAGGGGAGAGGGCCTTGAACCCAGAGACAGGGCTAGGACCATAACAGCCACTTCCTCTTACCTGTCAGCCCAGTGGTCAGTACGCAGACTCCTTCCATCCGCCCACCGACCCTAGGGTCAGTCTTCTTCTTTGCACAGATGACGAAACCAAAGACCCGGGTTTTGGTCACTTGTCCAGGACACAGGGGCTGACATATCTGAAACCAGGCCTCTGGACTCCCAGGCCCCAGCAGCTGGAGCCCTGCAGGCCTTCAGTCTGTGTGTGACTCCCTCTCTGCCTCCCACCCGCCCCGCATGCTCAGCTGGGCCTTGTGGGGCTGAGGCCCAGGAGAGCTTCTTACCACCTAGCTCAGTGGTCCCCAACCTTCTTTGGCCACGCCCCACCTAAGCATCTCTAATATCCTGATGCCTCCCACCCTGTGACATAGAATTCTTTTTTTAAAAAATATATTCCTATTGATTTCAGAGAGGAAGGAAGAGGGAGAGATAGAAACATCCACAATGAGAGAGAATCATGGATCGGCTGCCTCCTGCAAGTCCTCCACTGGGGATTGAGCCCACAACCCGGGACATAGAATTCTTATTATTCAAAAAGTGAGCTCCTATTCACGTGGAGGAAGCCTCAAAGGCCATGAACTTGGTCTAAACAAGCTTCCAAACAACATGGCATCCATGAGAGAGAGAAATAAAAGAATGAAAGGAGAGTGGAAGGACTGAGGAAGAAATCACTAAGAAACGGTTAAAAAAAATAATAGCAATAGGAAGTGATATGAAGAAACAGCAAATAAAGTTTCAAAACATAGAATAGAGCGCTAGCCGGTTTTGCTCAGTGGATAGAGCGTCGGCCTGCGAACTGAAAGGTCCCAGGTTCGATTCCGGTCAAGGGCACATGCCCGGCTTGTGGGCTCAATCCCCAGTGAGAGACTTGCAGGAGGCAGCCGACCCATGATTCTCTCTCATCATGGATGTTTCTATCTCTCTCTCCCTCTTCCTTACTCTCTGAAATCAATAAAAAAAATTATATTTAAAAAAAACATAGAGAACTGAATTGCATAAATATACCACAATATACATTTATAGACTGTATAGGAGGCCCCTAGAACCAGAAGACATGCAAAAGATTCACTGTGAATAACTCATTCTCAAATTGCCCCCCTTAAACATCAAATTGCCCCCCTGTGGGGCGTGTGCCCCACGCTGGGAACCACTGACCCAGCTCTATTTGCCAAGAAATTCCCAGCAAGTCTGATGAGGGCCGTGGAGCCCGTAGGTCCCAGGTCTTCCCCTCAGTGGTGGCCCTGGCCACCAGCTCCCCCAGGGGACAGGGGCTACCCGCCGTTTTCAGCATGCTACTCTCGATAACAAGGTCAGGAACTGACATCACACCCACCCACCATGGACCCTGGGGAGGTGGCAGGCCCTGCCCTTCCCCTCGCCGTCCCAGGTGTGCGGCTGCGGTGCAGGAAGAGGGACAATGGCAGGCCCCGCTCTGGCCGGCACCGGGCCCCGCTTTCCCCACC